CACACGTCCCCGACGACGGACTCCTAGGAGGCCGCGACCTGGCCGACCGCCCCGACCGCCCCGACCGGCTCGGTTACCGCACCGCGGCGCGCACGTGGCGGACAAGACAGCCACCCCTTTGGCCACACCACTGTTTACCCGCCAGGACGACGAGCAGGACGAGCAGCACGACGATCAAGAGGCGCAGCTATTAGCAGAGGCGTCATCACCGACGGTCAGGCGGACAGACCGACCGGCGGACAGCGGGAAATTCAAATTCGTCTTCCGCGCTCCACTGGTGCCGGTGATCGGGGTAGTGGCCGGTAGGGGTCCGGTAGGGGTCCGGTGGGGGTGTGACGGGTGTAACTGATGGCGTTGCGAGCGACTTCTGTCCCCCGGGCACTGTGACACCGGCACCGGCCGCCCCGCCCCGCCCCGCCCCGCCCCGCCTGGCCTGGCCGAGGTGGCCGAGGACATAATGAGGTGGACCGTATCGATCACCGGCTTGTGTAACGGCCCGGGGTGAGGGGGACGGGGAAGGGGTGTCACCGGCTGCCCGGCTGCTGGGAACTCCAGACACCTGGCGATGAGCCGTGCTGGCCGTGCTACCCCCGCGCCGTCGCCGGCCCCGCCACCCCCGCGCGCCGCACCCCCGCTGGTCGCGGCAGCAGAAAGAAAGGGAGAGGGGTAACACCAAATTGGCCACTCCGTGCGCTCCGCGCTCCGGACTCCGTCATCGGGGCAATCAATCGACTCAACTGGCCGGACTCGAGTACGGCGGGGTGCGAGCGCGGGCGCGTTTAGGGCGGGAGGGGAGGGGAGAGGGGGGGGGGGGCAGGAAGCGGCCCAGCGTGGCGGCCGGCTCGCTCACCCCGCAGTGACCGCACTGCGAAACTTGCACTCGAAAAAAGGAAAGGATTACTCCGCTGGGACGCGACGCGACGCAGACACAGGCAGACTGACGGAGGCGCCCTTCCCTGCCCTGCCGAGGCCGTGGCCGGCCGCAGCGTCGGCGCCGCCGCGCCGGCCGAAGCCTCTCGACTCGACAATAAAAATAATTTCCCTTTAATTTGGCCTGCTCGCTTCCACGAAGCTGCAAAGGTATAAGGCCGTCGGGGAGGAGCATTCCTACCGCATGCATGCGGCAGCAGCCTGCAGTGGGGCCGGTGGCCGGGCCGGTGGCTGGGCCGTGCCGCCGTGCCGCCGTGGCGTGCAGTGCAGGCAGCGCTACAGAGGTCGTCGCGGCCCCGGCGTGCCCCGCGCCGCCGCACTGCACCGCGATGCACACGTGTCGCCGTGCCCGAGTTATGCCCGCAATGTGGTCACAGACTGCGGCCCGCTGCAGACTGAGCCTGGTCGGCCACGCCGAGCGCCGCGCGGGCCGCGGGCCGAGCGGTCAGAAAAAGAGGCGTCGCGAGCAGCGCGGCCCGGCCGGCCCTGCACGCCAGTGGACACCTGCGCGGCCAAATAAAAAGCGACGCGGTGCCGCGCGTCCTTTGGCCTGCCGTCCTTCAAGCAGGGCGGGGCGGGGCGGGGCGGGGCGGGGCAAGCCTCTTTACTGCCGAGTCGAGGCATCACGGCGAGACGCGGCGCGCGGCGCGGATGGCGAGGCGATTTTCGTCGATACGACCGGGCAGAGAGCGCAGGCAGGGCAGGCAGCGCAGGCCCGTCGTCGCGGGGCTGGAGGGCCTTGAGGCGGCATAGCGCGGTTTGCATGCCATCCCCGGCGGCGGGGCTCAGGCTGCGCAGGCTGCGGTGCCCGGCCAGGAATAACCGACCTCGGCCGACGTGAATGTCACTCAGCCTTCCAGCGCGGTGCAGCGCGGTGCAGCGCAGCGACGACGCCGTCCATCAGAGCGACGCCCGGCGTCCAGGACGCCGACGGCGGGGGGTAGAGGCCCCAAAGGCCCGCGGCATTGTTCGGACGCCCCCGCTAGCGGCGCGGTGGACTCGGCGACTCGACCAGCGGGGGAGCGCCGCGCCTTGCCGCTTGCGCTTTCCTATTAACCGTGGCGACGGCGCGACGGCGGCCGGCAGGGCAGCAGGAAGGTGGCGCCCATTCCGGGCACGAGTCCGGGGCAACACCGGGGCACGGCGGCTTGGCTACCGCCAGCCCCGCGGCGCCTGCCCCTCCCCCTCCCACTCCCCGCGCCGCGGCCGCGACCTGGCCGTGGGATCGTACGGGCCGGACCGGACCGCGCCCGGCTTCCCCCCCCCCCCCCCCCCCCCCGGCGCGGTCACGACTTGATTTTATGAGTCGCGACAAATTTCAACGGGATCACACGGAGCACGCCATCGCCAGGCTGCCCCGCGGCACGCCGTCAGCAGTCAGCACGCCGTCGGCGCTGAGCTCGCCGTCAGCGTCACCGAGCCCAGCCCGCACGGCGCCGCGCGCGGCACGGCCCGCATGGCCGCCGAAAGTGCGCACCTATCGCCGCGTCAGGTGCAGAACAAGAACAACGTCAACAACAACAACTACAGCGCCGCCAGCACGGAGGCACTGTGGGGGACAATCTGTCACGAAAGAAGACTCGCCGGGCGCCGCTCGCTTTCCTCTTCCTCCCTTTCCCTCGAGGACGTTAAACGTTAAATTTGCAATCGGCGGACACGAAACGCGAAACACGAAATCCGGCTAATTAGACCTGAAAGCGATCGCCCCGCCGCCAGCCTCGGCCTGATGCGGGCCGCTCTGTCTCTCTCGGACTCACAGGCCGTGCCGCAGGGGTGCGAGAGAGACAGAGCGACGAAGTGCCGTTCGGAATCGCGCTGCAGCCTGCAGTGCCACAGTCACATTTGCTCCGAATGCAAATCAGGCCGCGCGACCGACCGTGCTCACCGCAGGCATCGTGTTCTTGCAAACCTCTCTAGAGCACACGAGGTCGAGAGAGGGAAGGGAGAGGGGGGGGGGGGCGCCGCCGGCAGCCTCGCCCCGCGCCTTCCTTGAGTGATGAATCCAACTCGCGGCACGATGAAGTGTGACCGGCGGCCGGCAGCACAGCACCACCTCCCGGAGCACCTCGCCGTGGACAACGCCCCGCCCCACTCCGCCCCGAGCCTCCTCCAGTGGCGTCGGCCGGACATAACCCGGCCCCATGCCGCCGCCGGGACGGTCCAGGACGGTCCGGGGCTTTGACGGGTATTGATGATGTGCCCTGTCCGTCCGTCCGTCCTGCCGGCCGGCCGTCGCGAGCGCTGCCACGCCGGGCGCGCGATCCTCTGCCCCTCGGCTCGGACGAACCATTAAAAGCCTATTATCTGACGCATACAGCACGGACGGTGCGACTAGACGTGCATGTGGCGCACCGCCTCGCCGCTACACGTCCGCAGTTCGCAGCGAAAAGAATGTGCAAATCTAATAAAGGCTTATTACGGGCCGGGCCGTTCCGCGCGTCCGCGGGCCGTGGGGGCCGTGCGCCGCCACGTTGCTGACCTTTGCCTGGGGCCTGCTGCCCTGCTGGCCCCGCAGGCCCTGCTGCAGGACGGGCCGGCCGAGGAGGCTCCCAGGCCCTGCCCGCGGCGCGGCCTGGGGCAGCCTAGGGCGGCTTGCGGGCCTTGCGGGTCAGCCCCACACGGTAATGACGGCCTGCTTGTCCTGGCCAGCGTCCGCGGCCCCGTCCGTCCGTCCAGCCGGCCGGCCGCCACCGGCCCGAGGCCCGGTAACGGTGCCCCCAGGAACACGGGGTGTATGACTGCGCCGCGGACGTTTACGATCAGTAGACATAAGGAGCGAATAAAAGCCGAGCCCGGGGCCGTGGCCGTCGTGGCCGGGGCAGGGGACGGCCAGGAGCACGCCGTCGTGTACAATGCCGGACCGCTCCCCCGCCGCGACGACGCAGCACCGCGACGACGACGCGCCGAGGAGGCCGAGGACAACGCCCCACACTCCGCCCCGCGCACCCCCTCCAATCTGCGTAAAGCCTTTTTTGCGTGAACTTTGAACCGCGCCCGTACACTAGTAACGACCACCGGAGGGACTTTTGACGCAGCTACCATACGACACATAAATAACCGGCGGGGAGGCTCGGAATGTGTGGACACGCCCCGCGCGCCCCGCGCTGCACGTCCGTCCGCCAAGTGCAGCACCGGCCAGACACGTCCATCAGGGCCTGCTTCGCCTGTTTCGAGGCGGCGGGACCGAGGCGGGATGGCGCGCGCCGGAGGAATGATTGGTCGTGATTGACCACGACGACGACGCCCCCGCGGCATGTGTGCCGTGTGCACGACCTGGACAACAACAAGCACGACCCGGACGTGCACGCCACCACGCCGGCCGGACGACGAGCACGTGCACCGTGCAGGCCACCGAGTGCAGCACGCCGGAGCACAACAATGGCCCGTCCGGCGGGGGCCGAGAGCCGGGCCTGGCCGGGCCGAGGAATGGTGCAGGGCACTGAGCAGGGCAGCGAGGCCCGGCCCGGCCCGCGCAGGGCAGATGCAACGCGATCCAGTTCGTGCCTTATGCAAATGGCCCCGGTCTTCTAGGAGGACCGGGCCAGCCCGGCCACCCCCTCCACGACGCGGCCACAGAGCAGCGGCAGCGGCACGGCGGCCCCGCTGGATTCATCATCATCGTCTAGCAGCACGGCGTCGACGCCGTCAAGCCGCTGCCGGGCAGGCCGAGGGGCAGGCCGACCGGCAGGCCCGCCACTGATTTGGATCGCGGCTTTGTGATCGGGTCGGCCATCGGCCCGGTGCTCATATCATATCGCACACATCAAGGGGCCCGGCCCGGCCGATGGCCCGGCCGCGTGGACGAGAAAGGAGCAGGCTGGCGACGGCGGCGTGATGTAGGGCGGCAGCGCGGCAGCACGGCACGGCGCATTGTTGTTTTCCGCGTCTTTGTGGGGTTTCTTTGGCCGGCCGGTGCGGGAAGGGCGGAAAAACACGGCCCCTTTGACGGCCCCGCTGCAGAGTGGCGGGCCGGGTCATGAACGCCACGGCGACGTACGGCCGCCGGCGGTGCGGCAACGGCTGCTGCACCAACCGCGCGCTCTCTCTCTCACACACACACACTCACTCACCGGAATTGATGGTGTTGGACTCGGCGTCCGCCACGTCGATCCTGGCCAGCTTGGAGCGGCGGGCCTCGTCCGGCGAGGACTCCGCCGACTCGCGGCCGATGTTGATCCTGGTGAGGGGCCGCACGTCCTCGTCGTCGCCGAGCAGGCCGAGGTGGTTGCTCATGGCGGGCAGCGACGACGGCCTCATCAGTGGCGACGAGGACCGGTTGCGCCGCTTGATCGGCGTCGAGCACCGCGGGTCGTCCGCGTCCAGCAGGGAGGACGGCGGCGTGCACAGGATGCGCACCGCGGAGGAGGTGGACGACGGCACCAGGGACTGCAAGGGTCAAGCCAGAGGGTTAGCATCGCATCGCTCAAATATTGACACGCCGTGGCGCGCCGTGGGGGCTCAAGCGCTCCCCCCGCCTTATCGCGGTGCATCGCGGTGCATCGCGGTGCAGACAAGGCGGCCGGTGTGGACGCACCTTTTTGCTATTAATGGGCGCCGATATGGAGGGCCGCCGCGAGTTGACGACGCCGAGGGGCAGGCCGTCGCCGGCGCGCTCCACGCCGTTCTGGTCGTCGCTGTCGCTGCCGTCGTGGTGGCGGACGGCGTCGCCGTCGCCGAACGGCGCCAGGTAGTTCTCCTTGTTGCAGGCGGCCATCTTGTGCTGGATGAACTTGATGATGTCGCCGAGCGCGAACGGCTTCTGGCACACGCCGCAGGTGAGGATGTCGGGCTGCGACGGCGTCACCACCGCGTCCGACGCGTCCGAGGCGTCCGCTGCAACACAAGGAGAGAGGCGGGTTAGTTTCGCAATAACGACCGCGGCTCCGCGGCACGGTCCAATCCGCGGCACTGCACTAGAGGGTCGCGGCCACTCCAGCCCCCAGCCGCTCCACCCAGACAAAGGGTTTGTTGTGACCACGGCGCGGCGGGGCGCGGCGACGCGACGGCCGAAGCGCAAGAGGTTGGCTCAACGCGTTGGTTCTCGGATCGCCGTGCGACCCTCCAGGCCTCCAACCACTTGCCGCCTTGCCGGCCGCCGCGCCGCGCCGTCTAGCTCGCTAGGGGAGCGCGCCGCGCCGCGCCGCGGTCCGTTTAGTTCAGGACCCCTAGGTTTTGACCTTGAACAAAATTGTATAAAGCTGAATTTTGGATATGTTGTAGCGCTTGATTCACTGAGTCCGCCGCACTATTTGGTTTCGCTCCAGACCCTGTGCGTCATGCCGATAATTGAACAAAAGGGCCTAAATGCACGACAACACGTCTAGGCCTCTAGCGTACTCCCTAATTAAGATAGAAGGCTCGGGCAGGTGTCTAAATGTTCGCTAGACACTGGGGAACAACCTTACAATGCTCGGGACTCGCCGCGCCGAGCGGGGCAGCCGCAAATTCGAAATTTGTTCAACAGTCGTTTTTAACGCTTTTTATCTCTCGCCGTAGCTCGGAAATGAGCCAGAAAGTCGTAAACAGCCCCCAAACAAACGCCGTGCGCTCAAACCAGACCTAGACGACGGTACTCTTACTTTTACTATAACTTGAACCAGTGCTGAGAAAATCGACCAGAAGGAGAGCGGTGCAGAGTCGCCTGCCGGTGGGATTCCTGCTGGCAGGCGACTCCGCTACGCGCCGCCCTGCTTCCCCCTCCACTCCGACGCGCGGCCGCCTCCCGCACGGCGATCTGTCTCTCTCCTCCACCCCTACTGCGGCAAGGCGTGCGACAAGGAAAGCACCAGCTCGCCTCGGAGCGGCTGCGCGCGCTCATTCAAACTGAGTTTCGGGCGGCGGCACGTTGAATAGGAGAGGTTTGGCCAGGCTCGGACTGGCCAGAGCAGACAGGCAGAAAAATATGCCGGGACCTTCGGGTTTGGGACCAGTAACGTCACAAAGTTGGTCAAAAAGTGTTTGAATCTTCGAAAGTAGCCGTTTTCGCTGAATTTGAGCGGCCACTGCGTCCGATCTAGTTGCGGCCAACGGCCCCCCTAGACGCCCTAGTATTCTAAAGACCGTACTCTTTCATGCCCTGTATCGGGAAGACGTAGACCACAACGATTTTGCCTTTGACCGCAACGATTTGGGACCAAAGTTGGCCAAAAAGTGGTCGAATCTCGGAAATTTGCTGATTTTACCTACTTTGGGCGGCCACTGTGTCCAAACTAGTTCCCGTAAAAGGCCTTCCTAACCAGGCCTTCCTAGTGGCCAAACGCAGGCTTGGACAGGCCCCCAAAAGGCCTCGGCGGATAAGACCGCAAAAGCAGGCCCCCGATCATCATTGTTTTTACCCTTCATGACCAACAATGTGAGGCTAACGCTCCCAAACTATTTGTGGTCAATAGCCTTCTCGTACAGGATATGAAAGAGTTGGGTCTTAAGAATTCTAGGGCGTCACGGAAGGCCTTTTACGGCAACTAAATTGGACACAGTGGCCGCCAAAAGTCAGTAAAATCAGCAAATTTCCGAGATTCGACCATTTTTTGACCAGCTTGGTCCCAAAATCGTTGCGGTCAAAGCCAAAATCGTTGTGGTCAACGTCTTCCCGATACAGGGCATGAAAGAGTAGGGTCTTTAGAATACTCGGACGTCGAGGGAGGCCTTTTACGGGAACTAGATTGGACACAGTGGCCACCCAAAATAGGTAAAATCAGCAAAATTCCGAGATTCGACCATTTTTTGACCAGCTTGGTCCCAAAATCGTTGCGGTCAAAGGCGAAATCGTTGTGGTCAACGTCTGCCCGATACATGGCATGAAAGAGTAGGGTCTTAAGAATACTAGGACGTCGAGGGTGACCTTTTACGGGAACTAGTTTGGACACAGTGGCCGCCCAAAGTAGGTAAAATCAGCAAATTTCCGAGATTCGACCACTTTTTGGCCAACTTTGGTCCCAAATCGTTGCGGTCAAAGGCAAAATCGTTGTGGTCTACGTCTTCCCGATACAGGGCATGAAAGAGTACGGTCTTTAGAATACTAGGGCGTCTAGGGGGGCCGTTGGCCGCAACTAGATCGGACGCAGTGGCCGCTCAAATTCAGCGAAAACGGCTACTTTCGAAGATTCAAACACTTTTTGACCAACTTTGTGACGTTACTGGTCCCAAACCCGAAGGTCCCGGCATATTTTTCTGCCTGTCTGCTCTGGCCAGTCCGAGCCTGGCCAAACCTCTCCTATTCAACGTGCCGCCGCCCGAAACTCAGTTTGAATGAGCGCGCGCAGCCGCTCCGAGGCGAGCTGGTGCTTTCCTTGTCGCACGCCTTGCCGCAGTAGGGGTGGAGGAGAGAGACAGATCGCCGTGCGGGAGGCGGCCGCGCGTCGGAGTGGAGGGGGAAGCAGGGCGGCGCGTAGCGGAGTCGCCTGCCAGCAGGAATCCCACCGGCAGGCGACTCTGCACCGCTCTCCTTCTGGTCGATTTTCTCAGCACTGGTTCAAGTTATAGTAAAAGTAAGAGTACCGTCGTCTAGGTCTGGTTTGAGCGCACGGCGTTTGTTTGGGGGCTGTTTACGACTTTCTGGCTCATTTCCGAGCTACGGCGAGAGATAAAAAGCGTTAAAAACGACTGTTGAACAAATTTCGAATTTGCGGCTGCCCCGCTCGGCGCGGCGAGTCCCGAGCATTGTAAGGTTGTTCCCCAGTGTCTAGCGAACATTTAGACACCTGCCCGAGCCTTCTATCTTAATTAGGGAGTACGCTAGAGGCCTAGACGTGTTGTCGTGCATTTAGGCCCTTTTGTTCAATTATCGGCATGACGCACAGGGTCTGGAGCGAAACCAAATAGTGCGGCGGACTCAGTGAATCAAGCGCTACAACATATCCAAAATTCAGCTTTATACAATTTTGTTCAAGGTTAGGGCCCTATTTTGACTAGGGGTCCTGGACTAGTTGGGCCGGGCCCGCGAGACAGCCGACAGGCCGACAGGCGTCACTCCGACACAGGCCCGATCAAGGACGAGGCGCGAGGCCCGATGTGGCCCGATCAGCGCGCTGCCCCGCCGGGCCGGCCAATCGACGTGGCCGTGCGTGGAGGCGTGGCCCGGCGTGGCCAGGCGGGGCGGTCAGCGGGCCTAAGGGGACGCGCTGGCCCCGCCCCTCGCTGGTCAGCCTACCGGCCCCGCCGCCCGCCGGTCACCCAATCCTCCCGCACCCCGTCCCGAACGCCCAGCGGACGCCCCTGCACAGCTCGTTGGAGCAGCACGGTCCCTCCGGCCGGCCGGCCCGTGGAGGCCTCCCCGGCCCCGGCCCCGGCCTCCCCCACCGCGCGTATATCTCGCCCCTTCTTCCTCGCTCGCTCGGCCTCGGCCTCTGCCTCTGTCTCGCTCGTTGGCTTTCGCTATCGACCGGTTCCGGCCTCGAATAAAAACCTTGCGACCCGCCCCACCCCGCCGTCCACCCCGCCGCCCCTCGCAGGCCGACCAACCCCGGGGCATATCAGCCACAGATGCTATGGATACCGGGCGGGCCGTGTGGCGCGGGGCCGCGGGGTGGCCGCGGGGTGGCCGCGGGGCGAGCGCGGGGGGCTCTAGGCGACCTTCCTGCGCCACCGATCTACCGCCGCCACACTTTGAATTAAGCAGCGCCGACAATGCCGCAATAAAGTCCGGCCGCTCCGGAGAATGCCGCGTGCAGGGGCAGCGGACCAGCGGAGCAGCCGAGGGACCATTATCTCAACAAGAAAGAGGCCTACTCCAACAGGCCGCCTAAGTACTTCATTACACGCGGAATTTACTGCATTTTTCTGTTGATTTTGTTGCCTTTTGTTGGCGATCGGCCGCCATCGGCCGGCGCCCCCTCCGGAGCGAGAAATAAACTTTGCTTTGAGAACTCAATCGACCTGAAACGGATTTGGATATGGCCTGGCCGGCCGGGCTCTGTTTACGGTGTGGTCAGCCTGCATCGCCTGACCACTATTGTGCGGCCCGTCTACCTGCACTGCACTGCACTGCACCCAGGTAGGGGCTGGCGTTCCCACACTGCATCCCCCGGGCGGCTAAAAGGGAATCGCCTTGCGCAAATCTGCAGCAAGTCGCCGGCCGGGGCACAAAGAGAAGAAAAGAGAAAGAAGGAGCAAGAAAAAAGGGGCCGGGGAAAATGTTTTTTCACCTGTCCAGACAGCGGCGGCCAGGCCGGCAGGTCGCATTACCTAGCTTGACCCGGACGGCGGCCATCCCTGTCCAGGATCCCTGTCCGTCCCGCATCAAGCCTCCTGCAGCCGCCGAGTCCGCCGAGTCTTTCGGAGGTTTTATGGAAAGAATTAGAGCGAGATTATTTTACGGCTGCAGCGAGGCGGCGGCGGAGAGGAATGCCATCGGACGTCTCGTCATTTTTTTTGCCTCCCTATTTTATACATGCACATGGCGACGGTGATGTCTTCGACGGTCTTCGACGCGCTGCCAGTCGCGCTGCTCGCGGCGAGAAGCAGACGGACGACGCAAAAAAGGGGCAAAAGCCAGGCGAGGCCGGGCAGGCCGGGCGAGGCGGGCAATGTGACAGGCGACGCTCTCTAGGCGGTCATAAACGTCGGACGGCGAATCTCAGACGCTCCATTATGATCAAGCTCACTGTGGACTGATTCCGAGAGTCTTCGCTCTGTCTCTCTCTCTCGCACCAGTACGGGCCGCCCCCATGAGTGCGAGAGAGACAGAGCGACGACTCTCGGAATCAGTCTGCTGCGCCACAATTTCACCCCGACTGTCGCCGCGTCGCTTGTCGCTTCGCGCAGCGTCCAGGTGCAGTGAGTGCAGTGCCGCCAAAGAAACTTTGGCGCATCGCGGAGACGGACGGACGGACCGA